GTAGGCTTGTGTGATGCTTCATCAGATTCGGGCGCCTTCCGACGTGGCATTTCCAACAGATTGTTTGATGAGAGATGCGTAGGGCGTCACACAGGAGATTGTGTTGCATGAGGGTTATGAAGGATATCCGGTATGTGCCGCGAACTATGGATAATGTTCTAGAAAGCACTTGATACAACACTAAAAAAAATAAGAAAAAATTTTCAGTCTAAATACACATAAAATGTTTGCTCCCCGGTTCGCGCAACAACATAACATGTTTCTTTAAATGTGACCCATGATTCAGCAGTATAAAAGGTGAAATAATAGTTAGTGGCGTACGATTCAACGCGGCAACTGCAACACGAGACGACCTTGCTGAGAAGACGTCCGCAAACCCTCTCTCTCGCAAGTAGTATCGCACTCTTCCAGATTGTAAGTCTGCCTCCGTCAACTGATCCTGAGCCTCCTTTAAGTTGGTAGCTGCCACTCGCAGTTGAGATATGGCGGCCGTCATTGTGTTGCGTGCAGCTTCCCGATCGTCTTCAGTATGTTTGTACAGCGCAACAGCTTCTTTGTAGTTTCTTACATCCTACTTAATTGTTTCATTAATGCAGATCATATAAAAGACCAAACCTACTAGGTTATTCATTCTGAGCTCAGAAAGTGAGTTATGAAGCTGTTGTGGTAGATGGGAGAGTTGTCTAAGTTATTTGTCATCAAGTCACAACGCACAAGGTTCACATGCGTTGCCCACAATGTCATCTCAATTTCAAACACCGTAAGGCCCTCCTCGCCCATCTAAACTCACCGTTTGGATCCTGCCAAAACCACTTTCGAGAGGTTGTGGACCTTGCTGATGAATTACGGAAGTACAAAAGATCCCATCACATCGTCCAGTCAGACTCAGACAGTGAAAATGACAACGAAATCGTCGAAGACTCGACCCTAGTCGAAACTCCACCTGTCGACGATGCGGATTTGGTAATGGATGTTGGTTCTGTTCCTGAGGGTCGGTTTGTTGAAGAATTTGAAGGGGCTGGACAAGCGTCGACAACCTTTTTCATTTTTTTTGCTTACAATTTTATAGCAATCTTATTCTTTTTCTACGAAACGGCGCCTCTGTTTTCTCCGGCCCTTCAAAAAAACTCAACCAGACACTCCCGGACTCCGCCCCACGAACAAAAAGGCCACGTCATTACCGATTTGAGGCACCCACGCCCACGAAAACACGCTCGCCTCCGTGGATAATACGTCAACATTTTTCAGCGCCGCCTTCGTTGGACAAAGGGTCAGGGAGAATGCGGAGAAATGAGGCTGGAGGGTCGTAGTGTGAAGGATTCGACGACAACGATACGTCTGGTATGTCCCAGTCGTGTTTTTTTGCGTTTTCGACGTTCCTAAATGCGACAACAGCACACGTTTATAGCCATGGCGAGTGCGTCGGCACTCATTGGCGTATATACGGCATTGCGTCTGGGTTCGACGTTGACGAATGTCTGACCTTTCGTTACTCTTTTC